TACTGTTGCCATTAAATCCTGAAAATCCAAGCCTGTTTTCTTGATCGCCTGAAATTCTATTTATCGACGTTTCAATTATTGTGAGCCAAACATGCTCCAAACTCTGAAAGGGATAGCAGTGAAGATAGTAAAGTGCATAATCGCTTGGAAAAACTACATTTTGCTGACCTTGTGAAGAATGCCAAGTCAGTTGCAGCTTTTTTCTGCTTCCCGCCAGTTTCAAGTCGGACAGAATGATTAATTTCACATAATCAGGACCTGGCTGCCACGAACAGTTTCCAAATGGCGGCCTTCAAAGTCAAGTTTTGGGCTTCTTTCGAGACGAATTTCTTTAAAATAGCAGGCACTTATTTCACTATATAAGCTGAATCCTTAGCTAGGAGATACATGGCATATAGCTCATTAAATACACAAGTTGGATACTTTTTCAATGCTTTATTTTCCTGTCTTTGTAGTTGATCCCCTACAACAACTACACATGCCTGAATTATGCGGTCATGAATTGAGATATGATCGTGGGACGAGGTTGCCTGGTGAATGGTCTACCGCTGGACTTAAGGCGCTTCAGGCATCTGGCCCTCACTGACAAAGCGCCATAAGTTCCGGTAAACTTGCCGAGCACACTACAGACCTGGGTACACAATCGTCGTACTGAAAAAGAAAGCAGAATATAAAACCTCATCTATTTTACGAATTTCGTTTCCATTTTGATGCCCCGAACAATCTGTCTGGTAACTCGGGTGCAACTTTGGGTTAATTTTTCTCGAAGGAAGCTGAATCTTGGGAAAATCATCACACCGCTTTAGTGCAATGTCACAAAACAATTTCAAATGACAATCGCTAAAACTTGAATTGCCAGCAGCAAAACGTTCCCGGAAATTCAAGAATACATAAAAGTGTTTGATAATGTTAAACTTTGTTCGCATGAGAATTTCTTTAACATCACATCATGCGGTAGTTTGGGACGAATGAGTAAAAATATAAAGTAGTTATGAAGCAAACTAGGCTTACCATGAGAGGGCCAGAAGAACGAGCGCGGCGTGGATCGTTTTCCTCGTCAGCTACCTTGCCCGACTCTGTTGGTGGCGGTGGCGGTTTTGATGGTTTATGTTCCTCGAGGCAGTCATGGATACACTTTCGCTGCAAAAGAAAGCATAATAACGGAGTAACCTTCATGGTTTTCATGACCTTAGTCCATCTTGTTTCCCGGATGAATGGGAGCCAGTTTGTAAGTGACTGACTGTTCTTCAACGGGATTTAGATTTAGCAAAATCTTTGATATGGCTTATGTGCTTTGAGGCACTCCTTCATACACTTTTTCTACAAAAGAAAGCATAAAAAATAATAAACCATCATTATTTTCATGAACTTAGTCTTTATCATGATGCCCGGATATGAATATGTCTGTTTATAGATTTGGGAAATTAGCCATACTACATTGACAAGTTGATTGGTTTTCATTCTGGCGGATTGTAATCGAGCTAAATTTACAAACATCGGTAAAAGTTTCCAAGATAATTCCATTCAATTGCAAACGGAATACTTCTTAGTTTAGTATGCAAATATGTTCTACAATTTTTAACCTGCAAACTAATTGATATTACATTTTATTATTGCTTGTAAATAGCTCTTAGATTGTACACGTCATTTACGCTTTTTATTCGTGGGAATTGTGACGTATAGGGCTAACCTCATGATTTCCATTTCAAGAGTTATTTTTTTCTCTTTTTAACATATTATTTAGCTCTTAAATAAAGTATTGTGATTGTGAGCATTGAAACACTCCTAAAAACTGAAAAAAAAATTGCTACCTTGAGAATCTATTTAACTTTACAACATGAAACAATTTGTTTCAAAGAGGGGAACTTCCATGTAGAATGGTCGGGTATGGTGGTCAGAAAGTTGATGACTTTAATGGTGAAATAGTGGTGCTTTTTCCCCTGAAAACTCTAAGCGAGACCAAAATACTTGATCTAAATCCCAAAGGGAGACAACGAGCATTTCCGATCTTTTCATATAGGCGTCCCCCCTTCTTTATCGGGTAATTTGGGACGAACGAGTGAAAATAGAAAACAGCTACGAAGCAAGCTGAACTTACCACTTTAGGCGGTAAAGAAGGATGATGATTATCACGGTGAGCTCGAGGATCGTTTTCCTCGTCAGCTAGTTCGCCCGGCTTCGTTGGCTTCATGCATTTTTCCTTGCACTTTTTCTGCAAAAAGAAGGTTAATGGTGTAACTCTCATTATTTTCACAAACTTAGTTTCTATCTTGATCTCCGGACTAATCTGCCTGACAACTAGGGTGTCACTGTGAGATTATGTTCCTACCAGTTAACTGAATATTAGAACATCACTAAACGTCTTGATTAACAAGCTAATTGGCAAGGCTGTCTGGTGGATTAAAACGGACGATTTTAGAAGCATTTCGAAAAATTTTCCAAGGCTTAAGACTCCTTTAAAAGACTATCAACCATCAATAAACTCAATGGAGACGACTGAATCTTCATCGAAAAATTTAAGAAAACAAGTGGGTAAATCACACTGTTCATAGTAGAATTTTCCTTAGAATTTGCTACCACAAGTTGGGAACGAAACACATATATAAAGCAAACTATTCAAGCTTACCAAGACTGGGCGGGGGCGCTTTATGGGGTGGATCATTTTTAACATGGGTCTCGGCGAAAGCGGCGGTAGCTCCAAGAAACAGGACCAGTATTAGAGAGTTCATTTTGGGCACTGTCTTTGCTGGTTCGCAAAGAAATATGATTAGCACAGCTCATGCCCGCCCTTTTTATAAGCCTGTGAGATTGGGATTGCATCTAAATTGACAAATCGGAGAACGACGAAGTCTTTGTTAAGGCCTGGTTTGCTTCCTAAGCAGCGGGCAAAAGGTAAACAGTTTTCTCAGCTGATATCAATAGTGAGGGTTTATTTACTTACTGCACGCACGTTTCCTCGCATTGTTGCACTTAAGTCGACTTTCCTTTTCAAAAGAACGCACATTTGACAATATCTTGAGTATTTTCAGATTTTCCTCTCTTGGAGAAGACCCAAAGTGACTTTGGTCACGTTATCACCTTGGTTACGTTTTTGTAGATGTAAAGTGCTCAATACAAATACATTGTCAGAGTTCAAATAACAGTAACTCTAGTGAGTTATGTAAACTTTTTGCACTCTTTTTTTCGGGACCACAAAACCACGTAAACTAACATAATAAAATTGCTTACTATCCTTTGGGCAAAAAAAAAATTTTTATTTAAACAAAGTACTGCAAACAAAGATATCTCTACGTAAAGGGTATATTTTGTTTTTGTACGTGGAGGGAAAAAACAAGTTTACTTGGTGGATACAAAAAAGTCTTTACAGCAGTATTTGAACGCCTAAAACCTTTGTAACCTCCCCTTCCATCACCTGCCTCGTTTTCCTCAGTTAACTTCAGTTTCCTTCTTGAGATAAACAAGTTTAGTTAATTAAAAACACTTCTTAATTTGACAGGGCCATGCGTACCACAATTCAAACCACAAAATGTCTTTTTGCTTGAAGTCGCCCTTAAACATAAAACATTTAATTTTGCGATTGAAAGCAGTAAAGATAAAAAAAATCTTCATGAAACGGGATATTTTTCTTTTGTGCAAGATGTAAACACAGTCCCTTCTGGCAAACATAGAAGCCACAAGGTTTATTCTGCAGACACAAAGATCCCTTTACAGTACATGTTTGTACTTTTAGAACGCAAGAAGTCCAGCTGTTATTACACATAAAGCCTATAAGCACTGAGCCGGCTAGGGATTCTGAGAGACTTGGCTTGGGATATGACACTTGGTAAATTAATATGATATGAGAAACAGATCCTTCGTAATGCAGTCGAAAATGCTCTGTATATGCATGCATAGACTTAAACTACCTTAAAATCCTACTTTAAAGCTCTGGGCTTGTATAACTTCATAAGGGGTTTTGGGTGAGCTTATAAACGGGGGAGGATTATATCAGGGGGGGGGGGG